ACGGAGAGGACCCCAGCGCCAAGCAAGTCCCGGCCGTGAAAGGCTACCCTCGCGCACGGGGGCCAAGCCCACCTTCAGCCCCCGGGCTACCAAAACTCTCCCCCCCCCCAGTCACCTAGCAAGTGTGTCCAGATGTTGCCCGTCTCGGTGTGTATTCGGAAGATGCTCTTGAAGCAGGCTCGGAAGGACGGCATGGGAGGCCTGTGTCCGTGCAGGAGGTAATCGTTGTCCTTCAGCCAGTCGGGCAGCACGTCGTAAGGGATCACGCGCCAGCGCCCTTCCCACACCTGCAACACGCCAAGCTGCGCCGGTGGCCCCCAGAGCGTCGAGCCAGCCCAAAGGCTCACGTTTACTCACCCCGGGAGCCCAAAGTCGCAGGCGGAACAAGCCCAGCCAGGGCTGAAAATGCCCTGTAACGCTCCTCGGGGAGAGAAAGTTCAGCTTTTGCAAGATCAGCACCCTGTGGGATCCCTTAAGCCACCCACATCCTCGAGAGCGCTCCCCACCCGTCCCCCCAGGGAGTCGGAAGCGATTCGCACCCTCAGGTTTAACCCTTCTGCACCCCAAATAACTGTTCCCTGCAGCGGGGAACTCCCATTTTGGTCAGGGAAGAGGGAGCCCCAGCTGGCAACAGAACCGATCCCTTAAGCCACCCACATCCTCGAGAGCGCTCCCCACCCGTCCCCCCAGGGAGTCGGAAGCGATTCGCACCCTCAGGTTTAACCCTTCTGCACCCCAAATAACTGTTCCCTGCAGCGGGGAACTCCCATTTTGGTCAGGGAAGAGGGAGCCCCAGCTGGCAACAGAACCGGGCTGGCCCTCAGCCGATGCCACCGCTTACCGAACCGCAGTCACCGCGAGGACAGGCACCGGGTGAAACCAGCAACGGTGCTTGGCGCTCCCCGTCCCCGTTAGAGGAACGCAGAGGCACTGGGGCTGCTCCCCAGGCCGCTGCTCGGCAGCGCGGCTGGGCGCAACCTCCAACACCCACCGGGCGCTTCCCAGCCGCCGCCATCCCCTTCCCGCACCGCTCCCGGGAGACGCTGCTGGGAGGAGGCCCAGGCGAGCGGAGGCG